CAGGGTCATGAGTTCGAGCTCCCCATTGGGTTCATGCTGGACGTGGAGTCTACTTTAAAAAAAGAGAGAGACAGAGAGAAGGGAAGAAAAAGCAAAAGTAAGGCAGTCGAAAATCCAGTACTATCTCTATTCAAGGGCCTCAGAAACTTTATAAACTTCATCTACGTTAGTGTGAAAAGTGTGGGAAATTTACCTTCCCTCTGGATGATTAATCCTAAATCAAACTGAGGAATCTCTATATCTTATGCAAGACACACAGTAGCATAACAAAAACAAAAAGCATAACATTTATAAAGCATTTCAGTGGTTACAAAGTGTTTCTCCTGCATTTTCCAACTTGATTCTCTCAATGACCTCATTTTATTATCCACATTTTACAGATAAGCCACCTGAATTCATGGAGGATAAATTCAAAAGCAGCGATACACGAGATCAAAGAGAAATATTATTAACTCAAAGATATATTTTAGAATTACCCCTTCATTTAATTTTTTGGACCTGACCTGATTCTCCTTTAGGAAAATGTACTATAAATCTAAAGTCTCAGCACGTTACCTCAGGCAGGGACGAATTGATTTTCTGTGTTTTCCTCCTGTCTATGAAAAAATTATTATTTCTGTGCCTTTAACAACTATAAAATGTGGTGTTCATCAGACTTAAATTAAAATGATAAACTCTACTATTTTAAAAGAAGGTATCCAAAATGGAATAAAAAAGATAATACAATAACTTGCTTATAAAATATTATACTAGGCCCTAGTAGCTAAGGGAAGGTATTGTTTTTTTAGTCCCTAATTTTTCCACTAATATAATACATAGAAAAAAATCAAAAGTGCATTTTCTCTCATATACCCATGTTTGGGAATGAAATTACCAAAATGAAAATCAAGTGCCAGGCTCTCATGAGACAAATGTCACAAAGGGTGGATGGTTTTCTCTTCAGCTGTAAGATGTTGGCCATCTAATACATTTTTAAATCTTATAAATTAATAAATCTTATAAATAAATAAAGTCTTTAATTCTGGATCAAGTTGAGTTGCTCAGGAATCTACAGTGGTAACTCTAAACATTACACAAATGCACACAGCAGTACACGAATCTTTCATTATAATCAATAATCATATCTACTTGGATCTTTAATACTACTCTTGTCAAAGTATGGTCCCCACTTCCCTTCCCAACACACACACACACACACACACACACACACACAAACCCCCTGTGTTTCTCCCAGTGTGTTTCATCTCAGAAATGGCCTCATTTTCAGGGTGCCTGGGTGGTACAGTCCATTAGGCATCCAACTCTTGGTTTTGGCTCAGGTTGTGATCTCAGGGGGGTTGTGAGATCCAGCCCCACATCAGGCTCCACATTGAGCATGGAGTCAGCTTGGGATTCTCTCTCTCTCCCTCTGCCCCGCTCACACTCTTGCTCTCTCTCTCTCAAATCAATCAATAAATCTTATTTTTTGAAAAAAGAAATGACCTCATTTTCTATTTGTTCAATAAAATTACAGTTGACGGCCTCGATCTTCCCTTTTTCCTCATGCTCCACATCAGCAATTTCCATCAATTCTATCATATATATAGATATACATGTATAGCTATATCCTATCTATATATATGGCATCCACCCTTCTTGCCACAACCCCTGCCACTACCCTAATCTCAGCCACCAACTTTTCTCACATCAACCATTGCTACTGCCTCCTAACTGATTTCCCTGCTTCTATACCTGCCCACCCTGAATTTATTGTTCACACTGCGATCCATCTTCAAAATGTAAATCAGATTATATCATTCTCCTGCTAAAACGTCCCAGGAGCTTTCCAATGTACTTGGAATAAATTCCCACCTTCTCACCATGACTTTCATAGTCCACAGACTCTGTCTCCTGCCTACCTCGTCCATCTCCTCGAGAGCCACTCTCTTGGGATCTCCATGTGCGGTGGGCACTCCTAGGTACTATCTATCATATCTTCTTGTCCATTTCCTTCAACACACTGATCTCAAAAATGCTGTTTCTTTACTTACGTTGCTTTTTTTTTTTCCCTATAGAAGATGAGTACCTGAGGGTAGGTTCCTACCTCCAGAGTCTAACCTACGAAAGCGATTTAATAAATATTTGTTGAAAACAATGAGATATATGTCCACAAGAACTTTATGCCTTTTAAACTTTAAAGATTTTAAGGAAATACCCAATCTATCTCTAAAAGAAGAATATTATCCCTAATAGACTTAATATCTACAATCTTTTTAAAAAGATTTTATTTATTATTTATTTATTTGAGAGTGGGGGAGGAGAGAGCATGAGCGGGGGGAGAGGCAGAGGAAGAGGGAGAAGCAGACTCCCCGCTGAGCAGGGTGCCTGACACAGAGCTCCATCCTAGGACCCTGGGATCATGACTTTAGCCAAAGGCAGACGCTTAACCCCCTGAGTCACCCAGGTGCCCCAGTATCTACAGTCTCTGAACTAAGCACTATACTAATTATTGGCTTTAACCTTCCACCTTGTACCACATTTTACAAATAAGAAGACTAAAGTTTAGAGATGTTAAATAATTAGTACAAGTTTATATAAATAGGAAATGATGAAGTCAGACTGGTGAAGAAAGATAGCATCATTTCCATGGTATGGGCTTTCAATTCATTCATTTATTCATTCAACAAACTTTTATTTAGAACCCACTCTATGCCAGGTACCTGGTAGTTACTTGGTGGGATGTGGTCAGTGAAGAATGTAAATGGATTAACATACAGTCCCTGCCGAAAAGAGCTCAGAGCTCACTCTCAGTGTACAGATACAAGACTGCCTTGTCCAGTGATAAACGTGTTCTCTGGCTAGAACCGATTACCATGCATAGGAGAGTTTATTTCAACTAGGATGTAGCAGAATTGAAATTTGGGAAAAACACAACCTGTTAAGAAGTGACTTGTTGAGTATTTTTAACACTTTGAAAACAATATACAATAAAAATTCCAATATCTAATTAATTCACAGATTCAGAAGATACCACACCGCAGCTGCTTAGGAACCCACTTGTGACAGGAAGTGTTACCAAACACATTGAGTCATTAAGCCTTCCTAGTTGGGTAAAACAAGTAGGTTCAGCTGCCACATTGCTCAAAATTGCTTCATTAAGGATTCTCTCAAGTTTCTATGTGTTATTTATTCTGTCTGGTTCCTTGCCTCAGAAAATGCATATGTTGACTTCTTGACTTTCCCTAAACTTTGTTTAACACTTGCAGAAATCCCAACAGCCCAACCACTGTCCCCTCTTTAATCTAGTTTTACCTCTTGCTGGGGAGTAGTTTCTTATCTCCTTTCATGTTCAGGCTGGTATTCCCTCTACCACTTCAGTGACCCGCCCCTGAATGTCTATGACCAACCCACGCTTGGCTGGACAGCCAACAGGGGCGGGAACAACAGCACCAAGTAGAGAAAGGCTCAAGTGGTCCCTTGAACTGATGGGATTATGTAGGAGTGGAAATAGAGGGCAAGTGAGAAATGAGTCACACACAGGTGCTCTGATGGAAAATAAGCCACAAGCCCCCCTGGCCATTCTTCCACCTTGGCTTGTCTTTGCTCACTCCTCAGAGCAGGGCAAGCTCCCTTGCCTAAAGTGCTTCAGAAACAAACTCCAAAGCACATCATGAGCTAGCATTATTCTCCATCTTCTCTCATCATCACCCCCATTGCTTCCACCCTTCTGTCAGTATGTGGCATATTCCACACTCTCTGACCACCGGATCTTAGTGCATGTTGTTTACTTTACTTCGATTATTCTTCCCCTTCTGTCCCCACTCCCTTTCTGGGTAACTTTTGTTGTCAGTCAGGTCTCAGATTAGACATCCTATGGAGGAACCTTCCCTAACAGCCTCCATCAGGCAAGGAAGGTCCCATGGCTATGTGATCCCAAAGTTCCTTTGCCTCTCTCCTTTCTCAGAACTTTTTTAATAATTACTTCTTTAATTGACCATAATCTCATTATACTATAAATTTTGTGAAGGCAGGAATCATGTCTCTCATGCCTTCTAATGTCTTCTAGTGTGTTCTAGTGTCTTCTAGGGCCTAGCAGAGTTTGATACAAAAGTGAAACTAAACAAATATTTATTGACTGGATGAATACATAAATTCTTAAAGAGATCAAACTATGCTTCTCTGTTGACATCTGATACTCCACCATTTAAATTGAGCCTCGGGCGCCTGGGTGGCTCAGTTGGTTAAGCGACTGCCTTCGGCTCAGGTCATGATCCTGGAGTCCCGGGATCGAGTCCCGCATCGGGCTCCCTGCTCGGCAGGGAGTCTGCTTCTCCCTCTGACCTTCCTCCCTCTCATGCTCTCTGTCTCTCATTCTCTCTCTCTCAAATAAATAAATAAAATCTTTAAAAAAAAATAAAAATAAAAATAAAAATAAATAAATAAATTGAGCCTCATCGTCCAAAAATAACTTGCTCAAAGTCTACATCCATTAAGCTGCAACAGCTTGCATAACTATAGGAAACAGCTCGTGGTTATGGATGTATGCAGATCTGAGGGAAATATTGTCCTAAGCTGAGGAAGAACCCATCACCACTGCCTACTTCTGCCAGTTCACATGGAACCTGGAATAGAACTCTACTGACTGAAGTCCTGAGTAGCTGAACTAGTCAGTTCTTGCTTCGTTGCAATTAAAATAAATCGAATTCAAAATGGCATAAGTAAATAGGAAGGAAGGGCAGAGGGAGGTGGGGAGGGAGGAAGGAGGAAAACTAATTCACAAAATAGAGTTGGGGGGCGCCTGGGTGGCTCAGTCAGTTAAGTGTCTGCCTTCAGCTCAGGTTATGATCCTGGGGTCCTGGGATCGAGCCCCGGGTCAGGCTCCCTGCTCAGCAGGTCGCCTGCTTCTCTCTCTCCCACTCCCTTGTGCTCTTTCTCACTATCTGTTTCTCTCACATAAATAAATTCTTAAAAAAAAAAAAAAAGACATAATATAAAAAAAAAAAAACAGAGCTGGCCTCTTTCCCAACTTCTTCCAAGGACTCCTCCAGCACCAGGAATCTCCATCTAGCTATCCATCCACCTGTGGGTCCTTTTCTTGCCACACCCCTCTGTGTTAGCGTCATTCTATCCAGTGAGAAGGAGTTCCACAGGGATTTCTGCAGACGCAGTCAGTACATTCGGTCAATGCCCATAAATCCCCAAATTCCATGGATCAGCTGCAGACTTGGGTTAGGTGCCTATTTTCAGGCTAATTACTGGAAATAAGAAAATGGGGCACTATGGTAAGTTACACCTCAATTTTTTTTTATCTAAAAGCCTAGAACAAGTCAAACCCCCAACAGGGTCTCTATAAAGACTAGAAGCACAGGTAAAGACACATTATGTCATCCAAAACATATTCAATCTGTAATAAAAATAAAATAATATTATCTGTGTTTTCGGGCTTTATAGACTTCATAGACTAGAGTTGTGCCTTTAAATAATGTTCATGATCTAAGTTAAGGTCAAGATCTTCTCCTGACTTTTTTCTAGCTCGATCCTTGTTTCTGGAAGACTTTCTCCACCCATCCCTCAGCCAGAATCGGAGGGAAATCATTGCCAAGTTCTCAGTCTGGGACTCTTCAGGCTGTAAACAATTAAAGCTGCAGAGCCGGCATGCTGCCATAGGAAAAGGGAGTATTTTTGAGTAGAAGTCTCAGAATAGTGACAGCTCGGAGTATTTTGCCATCTTGTGACTTGCCCTCACTACACTGAATTAGTACTTTAGAAAACCATTCTTTACTCAGTTCTCAAGAGTCTCATGTAAGAAATTCTTGCTAAGGGACGCCTGGGTGGCTCAGCCAGTTAAGCGTCTGCCTTCGGCTCAGGTCATGATCCCAGGGTCCTGGGATCGAGCCCTGTGTGGGGATCCCTGCTCAGTGGGGAACCTGCTTCTCCCTCTCCCACTCCCCCTGCTTCTGTTCCCTCTCTCACTGTGTCTCTGTCAAATAAATAAAATCTTTAAAAAAAGAAATTCTTGCTGATATGTAAGCTAAGGGATGGCTATAGACTACCCGTGGACTACATGGTAAAAATAAACTGGAACAGAATGAACGAGACTCAAGAAGATCATTTGCTTCGGTAAACGAAATTGTCTGGGGGAATAGCCACCTGGACTATCTAGTTCCAGAATTATTTTAGTATTTCAATCCCGCATAGCATTCCTCACAGTAGGAAATCACTTCATTTTTGAGGTGTTGTAAGAGATGCTGCAAAATAGAACATGATTCATTTGGACTAAAATAAGAAAAACTGATAAAATGCCTGATAAAAATAATTTTCATGTAGAGTTTCCAATTGAGTTGAAAACAAAATTTTAAAGTTTTTGTTCTTAATAAATCTGCTGAATTAGAGTGAACTAATAACTATTTGAAGTTTAAATGTGCACTTGGTATTTCTATCAAGTCAGTTTAATTTATTGAATATATCTACCTTCCATATTTTATAGAAAGATATTTGTAAAATCTGTGTATACCCATTGGTATAAATAGGGGGAAATAATAGCTTCCAATGAAAAGGATAATTAGGGGCACCTGGGTGGCTCAGTTGTTAAATGTCTGCCTTCAGCTTAGGTCGTAATCCCAGGGTCCTGGGATCAAGCCCCGCATCTGGCTCCCTGCTTAGCGGGAAGCCTGCTTCACCCTCTCCTACTCCCCCTGCTTTTGTTCCCTCTCTCGCTGTGTCTCTCTCTGTCAAATAAATAAAATCTTAAAAAAAAAAAAAAGAAAAGAAAAGGATAAGTATTGGTTCCAAATTGTCCATTTCCCTGACAGATCATTTGAAAAATATTAGTCAATTAATTTAGAAAATCAAACTTCAGTTGTCTTCTTCAATTTTCAGCTTTTTGTTGCTGTTGTTTCTATTTTGTGTTGGGCAATTTGCTGGTTTTTGTTTTTTAGTTTTTGTTTTTTGTTTTTGCATGACCTGAGCTAAATGTGTTTAATCCTTAAACCCTTGTAAGATAAGCATTAATACTCCCATCTTACAGACAAGGGAACAGACACTCCAGCAACCTGCCCAAGATCCCAGGGAAACAGCCAGAGTCTGACTCCAGACTAAGGTTGGTACAGCTCCTCTCCCCTTTCCTTGGGCCTCACCCCTTCAAGCAAAATTGAATCGCCAGATGGCAAGGGAGCTACCGGGGATGGTGAATTGTCTCTCTCGTGGGCTCAGCTCGAAGCTTTTTCTCGTGGCTATTACAGAAAAGAGATTCGAGTCTAGGTAGGTGACCAAATTAAACAACTTTTAAGGTGACTGAATCACACAGAAGCATTATTTTTTAAATAATATTTAACAAAGCCCTGGGTGTGTCTGCGAACCCCTGGACGGTACTTCCAGTAAGTTGGTCCGACAAACCGCAAAGGCTTTAGCAGCTAAATACGTTGGATCCTTGGACAGACATCCAGGGGCTGTGTTTAGTGCTCTGTTTTATGGGGAGAAAAGGACTTGGTGTTTGAGGGCGCTGGCGCATCTTGGCCTTCCTAATTCCTCTCATCTGTTAGAAAAGCTGTGTCTCTCATTAGATGACAAGAAAAATCAATTCAGTGTGCCTGGGTGGCTCAGTCCGTTAAGCGTCCGCCTTCAGCTCAGGTCATGATCCCAGGGTCATGGGATTGAGTCCCGCATTGGGCTCCCTACTCAGCGGGAAGCCTGCTTCTCCCTCTCCCTCTGCTGCTCCCCCTGCTTGTGCTCTCTCTCTCTCTGTGTCAAATAAATAAATAAATAAGTAGATAAATAAATAAATCTTAAAAAAAAAAAGAAAAAAATGGATTCAATAGGGGAAGGAAGAGAAGTTAATACCTGGCTCAGTATGTGGTGATTTCCCACAGACCCAATCATCACCCTGCTTAGTACACACTCTTGGGGCTCCATAAAACCCTGAAATGAAAGACACCCATGGAATTCTCTAGATCATTCGTTTATTCATTTATCTTTTATTCTGGATGACTTCAGATACTATGCTGGGATTTTTTATTAAAAATTATTGACATATAATATTGTATTAGTATCAGGTATACAACATAGTGATTAAATATTTATATACATTGTGAAATGGTCACCAAAGCAGGTCTAATTACCATCTGTTGCCATAAAAAGTTTTTACAATATTATTGACTATACTCTATGCTGTATCTTACATCCCTTGTCTTATCTATTTTACAACTGGGAGATTGTACCTCTTAATCCCCTTCATCTATTTCATCTTTCCTCCCACTTTCCCCGCCTCTGGCAACCACCAGTGTGTTCTCTATGAGTCTATATCCAAACTGGTTTGTTTGTTTTTCCGAGTCCACAAATGAGTGAGATCATACAGTATTTGTCTTTCTCTGTCTGACTTATTTCACTTAGCATTATACCCTCAAGGTCCATCCATGTTGTTGCAAATGACAAGATTTCATTCTTTTTATGGCTGAGTAATATTCCATTGCCCGTGTAAATATATATATACCACATCCTCTTTATCCATTCATCTATTGATGGATACTTAGGTTGTTTCTATATCTTAGCTATTGTAAATAAGATAAGCTGCTATAAACATAAGCTTGAATATGTCATTTTGAATTAGTGTTTTCATTTTCTTCAGATAAATACCTAGAAGTAAAATTGCTGGATTGTATGGTAGTTCTGTTTTTAACTTATTGAGGAATTTTATACCACTTTCCATAGTGGCTACACCACTGCATGAGGGTTCCCTTTTCTCCACATCCTCCAACACTTGTTATTTCCTTTTCTTTTTTTTTTTTTAAGATTTTATTTATTTATTTGACAGAGAGAGACAGCCAGAGAAGGAACACAAGCAGGGGGAGTGGGAGAGGGAGAAGCAGGCTCCCCGCTGAGCAGGGAGCCTCATGCGGGGCTCAATCCCAGGATCCTGGGACCATGACCTGAGCCGAAGGCAGATGCCCAACGACTGAGCCACCCAGGCACCCCTCTTTTCCTTTTTTTAAAGAATTATTTATCTATTTTAGAGAGAGAGAGAGCATGAGCAGGGGGAGGGGCAGAGGGAGAGGGAGAGAAATCTTCAAACAGACTCCCCACTAAGCATGGATCCTGACACAAGGCTTGATCCCAGGACCCGGAGATCATGACCTGAGCTGAAATCAAGAGTAGGATGCTTAACTGACTGAGCCACCCAGGCACCCCTCTTTTTTTGTAATAACAGCCATTCTGATGTATGTGAGGTGGTATTTCATTGTGGTTTTGATTTGCAATTCCCTAATGGTTAGTGATGCTGAGCATCCTTCCATGTGCCTGTTGGCCATCTGTATGTCTTCTTTGGAAAGATTTCTATTCAGGCGGTGCCTGGGTGGCTCAGTCATTAAGTGTCTGCCTTCGGCTCAGGTCATGATCCCGGGGTCCTGGGATTGAGCCCCGCGTCAGGATCCCTGCTTGACGGGAAGCCTGCTTCTCCCCCTCCCACTCCCCCTTGCTTGTGTTCCCTCTCTGGCTGTCTCTGTCAATAAATAAATTAAATCTTTAAATAAAAAAAAATGTCTATTCAGTTCCTCTGCTCATTTTTTAATTGGACTATTTGGTTTTTTGGTGTTGAGTTGTAGGAGTTCTCTATATAATTATAATGTTAACCCCTCGTTGGATATATCATTTGAGAATATCTTCTCCCACTCATTAGATTACCTTTTCATTTTGTTGATGATTTCCTTTGCTGTGCGAAAGCTTTTTAGTTTGCTGCAGTCCCATTTGCTTGTGTTTGCCTTTGTTTCCCTTGCCTGGGGAGGCATATCCAGAAGAAAGTTGCTTCACCATTGAATTCTACCAAACATATAAAGAATAGTTAATACCTATCTTTCTCAAACTCTTCCAAAAAAATTAAAGAGAAGGAAAAGCTTACAAACCCATTTTATATGGCCAGCATTACCCTGATACCAAAACCAAACAAGAATGCAACAAAAAAAGAAAATTACAGGCCAATATATCTGATGAATATACATGAGAAAATCCTCAACAGAATATTAGCACACTGAACTCAACCATACATTAAAAGGATTATGTACCATAATCAGGTGGGATTTATTCCAGGGATGCAAGGATGGTTCAACATCTGCAAATTAATCAACATAAGACATCACATTAACAAAGTAAAAGATAAAACAATATAATTAATAGATGCAGATAAAGCATTTGACAAAGTCAACATCCATTCATGATGAAAACTTGCAACAAAGTGGGTGTAGAGGGAATATACCTCCACATAATAAAGGTCATATATTAAAATCCTATAGCTAACATAATACTCAACTATGAAAGACCTGTACACTGAAAATTATAAGACACCGATGAAAGAAACTGAAAAGGATGCCAATAAATGGGAAGATATTCTGTGCTCGTGGATTAGAAGAATTAATATTGTTAAAATGTCCATATTACCTAGGTCAATCTACAGATTCAATGCAATACCTATCAAAATTTCAACAGTATCCTTCACAGAACTAGAACAAATTCTAAAATTTGTATGGAACTACAAAAGATCCTGAATAGCCAAAGCAATCTTGAGAAAGAATGACAAAGCTAGAGGCATCAATCTCCCTGATTTCAAACTATACTACAAAGCTGTAGTAATCAAAACAGTGTGATACTGATATAAAAAGAGACACAAGGTTCAATGGAACAAAATTGAGAGCCCAGAAATAAACCCACACATATATGGACAATTAATATATGACAAAGGAGCCAAGAACATACATCAGAGAAAGGACAGTCTTTTCACTAATGGCAATTGGAAAACTGAACAGCCACATGCAAAAGAATGAAACTAGATCACTATTTTATATCAGACATAAAAATTAAAGACTTAAGAAATTAAAATAAAAAAATAGATTAAAGACCTGAAACCATAAAATTCCTAGAAGAAAACATAGGCAGTAAACTCCTTGACATCAGTCTTAGCAATGACTTTGTGGATCTGACTCCAGAGTCAAGGGAAACAAATGCAAAAATAAGCAAATGGGACTACAGCAAACTAAAAAGCTTCTGCACAGCAAAGGAAAACCCATTATCAAAACAAAAGGACAACCTACTGAATGGGAGAAGATATTTTTAAACCTTATATCCTATAAGGGGTTAATATACAAAATATATAAGAAACTCAACAACAATAACAACAAAAGTAAGCACTCTGATTTAAAAAGTGGGCAGAGGACCTTGGACATCTCCCCAAGGAAGACATACATATGGCCAACAGACACATGAAAAGATGTTCAACATCACTAGTCAGGGAAATGCAAATCAAAACCACAGTGAGATATCTCCTAACACCTGTTAGAATGACTGTTATCAAAAAGATAAGAAATAACAAGTGTTGGAGAGGATGTGGAGAAAAGGGAACCTTCAGACACCGTTGTAAACTGGTGCAGCCACTATGGCAAACAGTATGGAGATCCTTCAAAAAAATTAAGACTAGAACTACCATAGGACCCAGCTATTCCAATTCTGGATATTTATCTGAAGACTATGAAAACATTAATTCAGAAGGATATTTGTGCTTCTACATTCAGTGCAGCACTATTTACAGTAGCTAAGACATAGAAACAACCTAAGTGTCCATCAATAGCTGAATGGATAAAGAAGACATGGTAAAATTATACAGTGGAATATAACATAACTCAGCCACACCAAAAAAAAAAAAAAAAGAGAGAGAGAGAGAGAGAATTCTTGCCATCTGCAATAATATGGATGGACTTGAGGGTATTATGCTAAGTGAAATATATCAGACAGAGAATAACAAATACCATATGATTTCACTTATATGTGGAATTTAAAAAGGAAAACAAATGAACAAACAAAATAAATCAAAAACAAACTTACAAAGAACAGACTAGTGGTTACCAAGAGGGGAAGGGAGTCAGGGAGTGGGTGAAATGGGTGAAGGGGGTTAACTGTATGGTGATGGGTGGTAACTAGACTTGTGGTGGGGGATCACTATGTAGGGTATTCAACAGATGTTGAATCATAAACCTGTACACCTGAAATTTATATAATAAAAACATAACAACAACAAAACTAACTTTACATTTCTGAGACAAATGCCATCTGATAATGTATAAATAATCCTTCTTTATATCATACTGGATTTGGTTTGCTAGTATTTTCTTATGGATTTCCACATCTACATTCATAAGGGATATTACTCTATAGTTTTTCTTTGTTGTGATGTTATTGTCTAGTTTTGGTATCCAGGTAATACTGGTCTCACAGAATGCATTTTACTGAGTTTGAAACACTGCTGTTCTCTCTGTCTCTCTGTCTCAATCTATCAGGTCACTGTCAAGTGTTTTCACTTTCTTGAAAAGTTTATATGCCTATAGGTATTCCTGATATGGGTCCATAATGATTGATTAAATATTCATCCACTTAATAATAATTACAATGAAATCATTTTGTAGAAGACTTTTTGTCCAAAAGCTTTGGACTGGCTTCAGTCCAAAATAGTTATATTTTAACTAGCATTCCTAGGAACACCCAGACTCTGTGTAGGAACTAGGAAGGCGACTCTGGATAAGATAACCACTATGACAATCCCTGAGTTTAAGTCTACTGGGAGATACAGACCAGCACATTGCCCTTTGCATCCAGTGTGCTAAGTTCCATGATAGGAGAAGTCAACAGTCAACAGAGAAGTACCTAGGTCTGACCTGAGAGAAGAGGTTAGACAATGTTCAAGTGATGTCTAACCTGAGACCCAAGAGAGTAGGTTTATTCTTTGGGAGAAAAGGAGTAGAAATTGAGCAGAAGAGGCTCAGGTATCTCCAGATACTAAGGAGGCCTTGGATGAGGTGGGCATGAGGCCAAGAACAGAGGGATTCTGTGAAAGGGCACTACTGACCCGGGGCTCCTAAGAATGAATCTGGGAATCAGGGTATATTCTTCCCCAGACAGAGACTGGAACACTCTTCTCTGAAGAAACCAAACCCAACCTACAGAAAAAGACAAAGTCTGAAATGACTCACTTGCTGCCTGATCATCTAAAATGATTTCACAATCACATTTGCAAATACTTTCCCTCCTCAGGAACTTGAAAATTTCAAAGTGCATTTAAAACTACTAGGCAGGGGCGCCTGGGTGGTTCAGTCGGTTCAACGTCTGCCTTCGGCTCAGGTCGTGATCCCAGAGTCCTGGGATCGAGCCCTGCATCGCATCGGGCTCCCTGCTCAGCGGGGAGTCTGCTTCTCCCTCTCCCTCTGCCTGCTGCTCTACCTACTGGTTCTCGCTCTCTCTGTGTCAAATAAATAAATCAAGTCTTTAAAGCTACTAGGTACTTGATGAACTATTTCCTCCTCTCTCCTGGGATTCAGTTCTCTCTTAGCAGGGCAATCTTGCTTCCTTTCCCAACTACAGATCGTGTTCCCTTGACACGGGAGTGTAAGAGCAAAGTCGTTCAGACGGCTACTCCTGAGCAGTGACCTTGTTCTTACTTCTTACTCTCTCCTTCTTCTATTCCTAGCAGATGAATGATTTTATAGCAAAAGAAAGCTCACTGAATCTTCATGGAGTACAAGAAGTTTCACTCAAATCTGCCAGAAGGCTAAACAAAATTTTAGATGTTCTTTATTAGGTGGACACTGTCTTTTGTCAAGTTCAACAGACATGCATGCCCTCCGAATATATCAAGCTGCATACTCCATAGCAATCTACATCAATGAAGTCGGACTCTAAGCTGCCAAAGCATGAAAGTGCAGCCAGACCTCAGCTGACCCAGGCAGCCCCAATGCAGGGTTCCACCTCCGGCAGGTACTTCAAGAACCCCTCTTTGCCCTCTGCTCTCACCACCATTTGCTGTTATTACTTAAGACTTTCTGAATTGATTGTTACAATAGCAGCTCAATCGCTAAATCCTACATTAAGATGCTGTTACAGGCCCTCCCCTTTTTTTAATCGGTAGACGTTTCTCAAACTATCCCATAAGAGGCATCATGTCAGATGTACAAAGGATACAGGGGAAAATACAGAGAAGAGGAAAATCCCAGCTCTGCAGGCAGCTCAGCCACTCATGACCTGCATGTCTTTGACCATATGAATGCCCCTCACTGAGCCTCTGTTTCAGGTTGAGAGATTAGCATGAGCAACGGCACAGAAGAAGGGAAGCACATGGTGCAAAATAGGTATCTTTGGCTAAAAAGAGGTAGCAATACATAGTAGCATGTGCAAGCAGTGATAGAGACGAGTGCTGCAGAACCCGGAGTGGGGAGAGCCATGAGAGACTGCAGTCACCCGAAGCAGGAATAAGACCTTCTAGGAATAAGAAGGTGGGGGTGGTTCGGTGAGCCTTGAGCCGGGTCCTTAAGAATAGGGAAGGTAGGGAATTTTTAACAGAATAAACATTTATTGCACACGGCAACACATACTTCACATGGAGCATCTTACTAAATCCTCACAAAACTCCTATGAATTACTATTAGCCTCATTGCATAGGTAAGGAAATGGGTTTCGAGGAAGAGGAGGGGAAAAGGCTCTCCAGGAAGTGAGTGCTGCTGTCGTGGCCCCTGTGGCTTTGTCTCTCCTGCTACTGTCCCTGCAGTTGGTTTCAGTGTCCGTAAGCAAGCAGCTCCGGGTGTTACTTATCCTGTGCCCTTCTTCTCTGCCACCAGCCCTTTCCTTTCCATACACAGTGAGCATGCCTCTGTCCCCTGAGTTCTGTGATTTTCTTAGTAGGTTGAAGGTAATTTCAGATACTGGATTTTAGCCTCCCACATCCCCTTCCTTTTGACATGTGGAACTCGACCCCTAAGTACAGGTCCTAAAGACATTTCACATGGTCCTCCAGTGATTTTAGGTAAGAATGTCACCATTTGACAGTCACCTGCCATTCATGTGACCAGAGGCACATCATTCTTCAGAATACTGGCAGAGATATATATACAATGGAATATTATGCAGCCATCAAAAGGAATGAAATCTTGCCATTTGCAACGACGTGGATGGAACTGGAGGGTATTATGTTGAGTGAAATAAGTCAAACAGAGAAAGACATGTATCATATGATCTCACTGATATGAGGAATTCTTAATCTCAGGAAACAAACTGAGTGTTGTTGGAGTGGGGAGTGGGGTGGGAGGGATGGGGGGACTGGGTGATAGACACTGGGGAGGGTATGTGCTCTGGTAAGCGCTGTGAATTGTGCAAGACTGTTGAATCTCAGATCTGTACCTCTGAAACAAATAGTGCAATATATGTTAAGAAAAAAAAAAAGAAGAAGAAGAAGAAGGTAGCGGGAGGGGAAGAATGAAGCGGGGGAAATCGGAGGGGTAGACGAACCATGAGAGACGATGGACTCTGAAAAACAAACAGGGTTCTAGAGGGGAGGGGGGTGGGAGGATGGGTTAGCCTGGTGGTGGGTATGGAGGAGGGCACGTTCTGCATGGAGCACTGGGTGTTGTGCACAAACAATGAATCATGGAACACTTCATCTAAAACTAATGTTGTAATGTAAGGGGATTAACATAAGAATAAAAAAATTAAAAAAAAAAAAAAGAATACTGGCAGAGATTATAATCTTTTGGAAGAATTGATTAGGAGCTAAATCCTCAGAGATGAACATACAACCTTCTGACCACCCGCTACTGAATGGTTTAGAGTCTTTCTCCAGCAAGGGAGGATATGGGACTTGAAAATGATTTCATAGCCCGAGGCTTTACGTGAGAGCAGGAGACCTGGGAGCTGCAGGACAGGGGGAGGTCTCGTGAAATATTGCAAACATAGGCTTTTCTAAAGGTCTAAATGTCTTTAGCCAGAATATGCGGAAGAGTAAAATATTAGTTAATTGTGACATTATAGATGTAACTCTAACATATTCTGCTATTCATTTTGGCTACAATGTTAACCTTAAGCTTCAGTAAAGTCCCATAGATAATCCAAGAAAGAGAGCATTTTACAATTTTCTAGAGTAGAATCAGAGCTATGTGTTGTATTTGTAGTCCAGTCTCCATGTGTTATTTTTGACAAGTACAAATAGAAAAGAGATAGAAGCTTAATCCAGGTAATTTAAAAAGAGGTTGGCCAGTAAATCATTAAAATTTGCACTAAAGTTTTATATATGAACCTTACTTTCTGGGTAGCTACTGGTTTAGAATTTCTTCTCAGACAACTGTACATAATGAGAGAAAAATTTGGAAACCTATCCTGTGAGATTTTTCTAGAAGATGCAAGTCTCCAGTGTAGTGAATATAGTAGCTGCAAGCATGGCTTCTGATGTCAAAAGGCTCGCCCTGTGATCTTGAGTAACTTAACCTCTCATATATCAAATCCCTCACATATAAATGGAGAAAATGGCATTTGCCTCAGAGACTTAAATGAGATTATGCATTAAAAGCTCATGGGAAACAGTACGTTAAAAGGATTGTTCACCACGACCAAGTGCAATTTATCCCTGGGCTGCAAGGTTGGTTCACCATCTGCAAATCAATCAATGTGATACAATACATTAATAAAAGAAAGAACAAGAACCATATGATCCTCTCAATAGATGCAGAAAAAGTATTTGACAAAGTACAGCATCCTTTCTTGATCAAAACTCTTCGGAGTGTAGGGATAGAGGGTACATACCTCAATATCATAAAAGCCATCTCTGGGCGCCTGGGTGGCTCAGTTGGTTAAGCGACTGCCTTCGGCTCAGGTCATGATCCTGGAGTCCCTGGATCGAGTCCCGCATCGGGCTCCCTGCTCGGCAGGGAGTCTGCTTCTGCCTCTGACCCTCCCCCCTCTCATGTGCTCTCTCTCTCTCATTCGCTCTGTCTCAAATAAATAAAAAAAATCTTAATAAATAAATAAATAAATAAATAAATAAATAAATAAATAAATAAATAAAAGCCATCTCTGAAAACCCACAGTGAATATCATTCTCAATGGGGAAAAACTGAGAGCTTTCCCCCTAAGGTCAGGAACACGGCAGGGATGTCCACTATCACCATTGCTATTCAACACAGTACTAGAAGTCCCAGCCACAACAATCAGACAACAAAAAGAAATAAAAGGCATCCGAATCTGCAAAGAAGTCAAACTCTCACTCTTTGCAGATGATATGATATTTTATGTGGAAAACCCAAAAGACTCCACCCCAAACCTGCTAGAACTCATATAGGAATTCAGTAAAGTGGCAGGATATAAAATCAATGCACAGAAATCAGTGGCATTCTTATACACCAACAGTAAAACAGAAGAAAGAGAAATTAAGGAGTCAATCCCATTTACAATTGCACCCAAAACCATAAGATACCTAGGAATAAATCTAACCAAAGAGGCAAAGAGTCTGTACTCAGAAAACTATAAAATACTCATAAAAGAAATTGAGGAAGACACAAAGAAATGGAAAAATGTTCCATGCTCATGGATTGGAAGAACAAATATTGTGAACATGTCAATGCTACCTAGAGCAATCTACACATTCAATACAATCCCTATCAAAATACCATCCACTTTTTTCAAAGAAATGGAACAAATAATCCTAAAATTTGTATGGAATCAGAAAAGACTCCAAATAGCCAGAGGAATGTTAAAAAAGAAAAGCAAAGCTGGCGGCATCACAATTCCGGACTTCAAGCTCTATTACAAAGCTGTCATCATCAAGACAGTATGGTACTGGCACAAAAATAGACACATAGATCAATGGAACAGAATAGAGAGCCCAGAAACGGACCCTCAACTCTAGGGTCAACTAATCTTTGACAAAGCAGGAAAGAATGTCCAATGGAAGGAAAAAAAAAAAGAATGTCCAATGGAAAAAAGACAGTCTCTTCAACAAATGGTGTTGGGAAAATTGGACAACCACATGCAGAAGAATGAAACTGGACCATTTCCTTACACCACACACAAAAATAGACTCCAAATGGTTGAAAGACCTAAATGTGAGACAGGAGTCCATCAAAATCCTAAAGGAGAACACAGGCAGCAACCTCCTCAACCTCAGCCGCAGCAACTTCTTCCTAGAAACATCGCCAAAGGCAAGGGAAGCAAGGGCTTCCCTTAGCAAAGGCTTTCCCAATAGCAAAATGAACTATTGGGACTTCATCAAGATCAAAAGCTTTTGCACAGCAAAAGAAACAGTCAACAAAACAAAAAGACAACTGACAGAATGGGAGAAGATATTTGCAAATGACATATCAGATGAAGGGCTAGAATCCAAAATCTATAAAGAACTTCTTAAACTCAACAAATGAACAAATGATCCAATCAAGAAATGGGCAGAAGACATGAATGGACATTTTTCCAAAGAAGACATCCAAATGGCCAACAGACACATGAAAAAGTGCTCCACGTCACTCGGCATCAGGGAACTACAAATCAAAACCTCAATGAGATACCACCTCATACAAGCCAGAATGGCTAAAATTAACAAGTCAGGAAATGACAGATGTTGGCGGGGATGCGGAGAAAGGGGAACCCTCCTACACTGTTGGTGGGAATGCAAGCTGGTGCAGCCACTCTGGAAAACAGTATGGAGATTCCTCAAAAAGTTGAAAATAGAGCTGCCCTACAACCTAGCAATTGCACTACTGGGTATTTACCCCAAAGATACAAAAGTAGGGATCCAAAGGGGTACGTGCACCCCAATGTTTATAGCAGCAATGTCCACAATAGCCAAACTATGGAAAGAGCCTCGATGTCCATCAATGGATGAATGGATAAAGACGATGTGGTATATATATACAATGGAATATTATGCAGCCTTCAAAAGGAATGAAATCTTGCCATTTGCAACAACGTGGAGACTGTTATGCTGAGCGGAATAAGTCAATCAGAGAAAGACATGTATCATATGACCTCACTGATATGAGGAATTCTTAATCTCAGGAAACAAACGGAGTGTTGCTGGAGTGGTGGGGGGTGGGAGGGATGGGGTGGCTGTGTGATAGACATTGGGGAGGGTATGTGCTATGGTGAGCGCTGTGAATTGTGCAAGACTGTTGAATCACAGATCTGTACCTCTGAAACAAATAATACATTATATGTTAAAAAAAAAAAAAAAAAAAGATAGCAGGAGGGGAAGAATGAAGGCAGGGGAAATCAGAGCGGGAGCCGAACCATGAGAGATGATGGACTCTGAAAAACAAAGAGGGTTCTAGAGGGGAGGGGGTGGGAGGATGGGTTAGCCTGGTGATGGGTATTAAAGATGGCACATTCTGCATGGAGCACTGGGTATTATATGCAAATAATGAATCATGGAACACTACATCAAAAACTAATGATGTAATGTATGGTGATTAATATAATAATAAAAAATTATGATCTTTCAAAAAAAATTGATAGATGAATGGATAAAGATGTGGTATATATATATATATATATATATATATATATATATATATATATACACAATGGAATATTATGCAGCCATCAAAAGGAATGAAATCTTGCCATTTGCAACGACGTGGATGGAACTGGAGGGTGTTATGCTGAGCGAAATAAGTCAATCAGAGAAAGACATGTATCATATGACCTCACTGATATGAGAAATTCTTAATCTCAGGAAACAAACAGGGTTGCTGGAGTGGAGGGGGGTGGGAGGGATGGGGTGGCAGGGATGGGGTGGCTAGGTGATGGACATTGGGGAGGGTATGTGCTATGGTGAGTGCTGTGAATTGTGCAAGACTTTTGAATCACAGATCTGTACCTCTGAAACAAATAATACATTATATGTTAAAAAAAGAAGAAGAAGACAGCAGGAGGGGAAGGGGGAGAAATCGGAGCGGGAGCCGAACCATGAGAGATGATGGACTCTGAAAAACAAACTGAGGGTTCTAGAGGGGAGGGGGGTGGGAGGATGGGTTAGCCTGGTGGTGGGTATTGAGGAGGGCACATTCTGCATGGAGCACTGGGTGTTATACGCAAACAATAAATCATGGAACACTACATCAAAAAAAAAAAAAAAAAGCTCATGGGAGTGGGGAGCCTGGGTGGCTCAAACATCCAACTCGATTTCAGTGCAGGTCATGCATGATCTCAGGGTCCTGAGACTGAGCCCCACATCAGGCTACATGCTCAGCAGGGAGTCTGCTTCTCTCCTGACCCCTCCCCTTGCTAGCCCGCACTCTCTCTCTCTCGCTCAAATAAATATTAAAAAAAAAAAGAAGCTCTATCAGAATTCAGAGTATACAGTAAGTTAACTAGTGTGAAGAATGAATTAGGCATACCAAGTTGTTTAGTACTATTTCCAACGGTAGAGGTCACCCTCCCCCCAAGTACTGAGAGTCACCTTTAACTAATTAGGTGCCTGTGCATTCCATGAATATTAGAGAACAAAAGTTAGAGAATAAAACTTCCTATAGATTACCTTATAATTGAATGGCACGATTTTAAGCACAGCCCCCAAATCGGTTTGAGAATGAAGAGCTAACATATTAAACCCACACCCATGAGAGTAGGGGAAGGGACAGAAAGGGCAAATGGAAAGGGTCATAGGGACTAGGTACAAGTTAGAAAACATGGTCTAGCAGAATATTCTGTTTAACTTTCTGAATCCTTATGTGAATCTCTTTACTGTGTGTTTTCAAAAGAAGGAAAAGAAACTTAACAGAAAATGGTTCCATATTATAAATAACAATTTGGTACTATCATATACTAAGTTAGCATTATCAACTGTTTGAGTTAGAATCTAGATACCAGATTTAAATCAGCTTTAAAAAGTTTAACTCTAGGGGCGCCTGGGTGGCTCAGTCGTTAAGTGTCTGCCTTTGGCTTGGGTTATGATCCCAGGGTCCTGGGATCGAGTCCCGCATCGGGCTCCCTGCTCCGCGGGAAGCCTGCTTCTCCCTCTCCCACTCCCCCTGCTTGTGTTCCTGCTCTCGCTATCTCTCTCTCTCTCTGTCAAATAAATAAACAAAATCTTAAAAAAAAAAAAAAAAGTTTAACTCTATTTTCCCTCTGTACAGAAAGCATACATCTTTTAACCAGAGAAGAGCTGTCTCAATACTAGGTCAATGGAATTCCCCACAATCATAGCCTGATAAATACATGTTGAAACTGCCCAAGAAGTTCAGCAAATGAAGCACTTAAAAAAAGTAGAATTATTCCTTTTATTACAAAACTTAATTTAATGATTTCTGTACTTTTTCCTTATAAGAATAAAATAAAACTGATGTTCAAAATTGGAAACTGGATAATCAGACAAAAAAAATCACATTTATTTCAATAGTTCAAAGTGCAAATACAGCAAGTCAGTTCGTTTCAAGATACAGTTTTAAGTATAATGAAAACTTGAAATACAAAAATGAAAGGGTAAATAGCAGAAATAAAGCTCAATTTTTTAAAGAATTCAAGTAACCCGAAAACCTTTAGACTAAAATATTCCACTTACAACAATTCAGAAATGCCTTAATTTATAGACACCAGCAGTACGGTGCAAATCCCAAAAGACTTCTCAAAGAAAGAGAATCACCCCAAACCGGTCGGCTCAGGACAAGAGTGAAGTTCTTGGTACTGGCTATTCCTGATTCGGCAGCCTCACCCACTGTCAACTGGTATGGTTCAACCCATGATACTTTGATGTTTAGGCAAATTCTAAAAAATGTTTAAAGTTCAACATGAGGCCAACACCCTACTAAGAGTTTCTGAAATGGCCACTATATATATAAAAGATTTTAAAGACCAGTTTCAACTTCAGGCCTATGGTATTACTGGGGGAAAGACAGAAATTAATACTTCTTCCATTACTTAAAACCTTTCTGTAAGGTTAGCAACATGGCCTTTACAACTTCCTCATGAAAATCGTACTTAAATATATACTTATT